CATTTCATCATGGCAGGTATGATTTGCTCGCATTGTGAAGTCTGAACATGCGATGATAAGGTATTGGAAAAGCTGAGTTAATACTTTGTGTGTAATTATTTCACATTGAATGAGTGAATATTATTCACTCCTATTGTTCTTCTTTGTCCTGCACTAAGACATCCTTACACATGACATTCAGAAAATTGGAGTGTATACGAAGTGTTAATTTGAATGTATTGATATCTTTAAAAGTATAATCAGGTCCTGGATATAGCAGTTGCAGTTCCTATAAAATCTCCTCCAATCTCGCACTGCACTGGCATATGATTGTTTTGCCATTCTTGTTTTCAGCTTTTTATGCGTGGAAAGAACACAAATTTACTTTATTCTGTGTGTCTAATCTTCTCTGTAGAGCTGACTTTACTTTGAAATCATCACCTTGGAAAGTCAGTATGAGTGCGCATGGATGATTCAAAACTAGTTTGTGCAACTGTTTTTTTTTTTTTTTCCCTGCGTTGGAGAGATAGCTATAGAGATATAACAAGAGGATTACTGACTGATTGAACATTTCCTGCGTGCTACAACTGATGAGAAAAAAGCCACCCTTTTTTCGAGAAGACCTTTTGTAACTCCCTGTGGAAAGTCCCATGTGATTTAATCCATTGCAGAATAGTGATAAAATTTAACAAAGAACACCCAAGATGAATTTCAATATCAGAAGCAATTTTTAGTGTCCCACCACACAGCTAACTTAAGAATTTTCAGAGCAGAGAGTCTAAGGTTTGCTTCTCACTCGCTGTTTTGGGGCACCTAAGCTATAGCAGCCTTTCCCATCCTACAGAAGCCAGTAGGAAGCAATGATGCTTAGTAATTTCTGTTTAAATGCCCGAGCAAGTAATTAAGGTGCCAAGTTTCAAATTTGTCTTCCAGAAACAAGGTGCCTCAATTAGACAGCTATGAGGTACATTCAAATACCTGTATGCTCAGCTGTGACCCCAAACTCAAAACTCTCCAACCGATCAGCTTACTTCGCTGTATAGCTGTAAACTTAACACGCCAGACTTGAGGGTTTACTCTTCTGCTGAAGAGTGTGTAGTGTTAGGGCACAGCTGCTTAAGTGTTTTATCTTGTATCGGTCAAGTGGCTGAAATGAATCTGTG